CTAGCCGGTGGCATCTAGCCACTGCCGGTGATGGGTGGGGATGGTCTACAAGCCCCACCCTGCCTCTCAAAGGCAAGATGCAAGTGTTTGGTGCAAAACCAGACACTAAACGGTCAAGTTCGGAGATCCTGAGGCAAGGCGCGCGAGCCGAGGCCTCCGGGAACTCCAAACGAACACAAACATGGATAATCACCGAGTGTTCAAACGGTGACGTCCAAGTCTTGAGGACGGTCAAAAATGGGGTGTCTACAATTTGTTCTCCTTATGCTTAGGAATCTCAAAAGAAATAGATTTCCCACTTCTTCATGAAGTCGATGCAAAGGAGCATTCTGAAGATCCAGTACTTTCAGAAGCTTGAAATTTGCAGCTAGTGTGCCCAAGAAGGGCTTCTTTGGCAGCTCTCCCACTTGAAAAAGAAAAACAGAACGAACTAGGGATTTACCAATGCTTTTCATAACCTTATCCATGTTGCAATAATGCATATGCATAGATAGCTACCGAGTTGTGTCATTGAAACTTGAATTGTCTTCCAAAATTTGACAAAAACTAAACTCGTCAGACATTGAGAGAATAATCTCACGCACTACATCATGTACCTGACACCATCCAACTCTTCCATCAAATTTTGTTGTTGACACTAGAACTAAGCGTCTATGGATCAGCTCAATCAAGCATTCTTCTGCAACTTCTTCCATTGTTTTTCCTTTCTGCTCTTCAATGAAACCCTCGGCTATCCATAGTCGAATTAGTCTTCCATAACTGATAGAGTAGTCATCTGGCATTATGCCAAAGTACAAGAAACAAGATTTGAGGTAGTGAGGCAGATCATTATAACTTAACAATAAATCTTTTTTGATGTTTGTAAGATTAGGATTCCTTTCCAATTCAGAGTTCATGCTACCGTAGAATTTTTGCCATTCAGATATACTGTTGTTTTTGGTGGACAAGAGACCACCTATAGCTGCAATTGCAAGTGGCAAACCTTGACACTTTCTAACAATTGCATGTGATAATTCCTCCAACTTAGGGGGACAATGACCCTCAAAGTCCAATTGGAAGGCTTTCTTGCAAAAGAGTTCCAATTGTAGCAACCTGTTCACTGCGTGTGGTGATGATTACCCGACTGCTGTCACTATTTTTGGGTAAGGCATGTCTTATGGATCCCCAAAAATCAGTTTTCCATACATCATCAAACACAATGATGTACCTCTTTTTGGATAAATATCCTCTTAACTTGACAATGAGTGACTCATTTCCCTTATCAGGCAGAACATAAATTCCTGATAGCTGCTTTATCATTGTTTTGAGGAGCTCCTCTAGTTTGTATGATTGAGAGACAGTGATCCACGCTTTACAATTGAAGTGTGCAACCACTTATTGGCTGTCATAAACTTTCTTGGCAAGAGTGGTCTTGCCAATTCCTCCCATTCCAACCACCGAGATCACTGCTTGTTGTGATTGATTTTGGTCAACCAATCTGCTTATCAGTTCATATTTGGGAGATTCAATGCCAACGACTTCGTCGTCCCCTATGAAAAGGGAAGCCAGTCGAGGGTCACGCCACATGTTGTCCTTGCTGTTGCTGCTGCTATGTTCTGACGAAGTACTAGTACTGAATCCATATCGATCAGCTCCTTCCTTGGTCTCACGGATTGTAGTTTTGATGTCTTGGATCTGAGAAGCAATCTCATGTCGTGGCTTTAGCTTAGTGATTGTCCGAGTGACTTTATGCAAGGAACCGAATAGTCTAGGTTGTTTTGGCAAGACCAAGAGAATGTGTGCATCGATAACATCTTGTATCCGATAAGCAACTTGCCTTACTTGTTTCACCCATATTTTCACACCTTCATCTCCAGTTTCTGCTCTTGATTCTGCATCTTTTAAGAAAGAGTGCATACGCTCCAATTCAGCTTTGATACTGACCATTTCCTTGCGAACACCCCTCAACAACTCTACTTCACCGGCTAACAATGGTCCCAAATATTGAATAACAGAGATCACCGCTCTTTCTGCCATTAGTTCTCCCTGCACTGAACACATCATAACTATTAGTTCTGATTATGCTTCATGTGGGATTGTGTCCATGTAGAAAGGAAGTTAGTTACATGATGATGATGGTGAAGTTTCAATTCAGTGCATGGCTCTGTTTATTAGTTTATGAGAGAGGTGGTGAACTTCAGTTATGAAGAAATTAATTATTTTGGATGCATTTTCCTCCAAAAGGTTAGATAAAAGAATAGATTTGATTCACATTTTAGGTCTTGCAATAAATAAGTAAAACAAACCTTTTATTATAATAGTATTTTTAGTTTTTAATTATTTTCAAATTATAGACTAGCCCCTGCAGATTTTGTTAAAAAAATAAGTGAACACAACAATGATTGATGGTAACATATATATTTGAGTGTAAAAGAGATACAACATCATTTTTCATCCTTAGATCATGCTTGAATCATGAATATGAGTAGGAATCAATGAAAGAAAAGAAAAGAGACACCAAAATCATCACTTTGAATAAGAATTTCATGGATTTGAATAAAAATTAATAGAGGAAAAAGTATGCAATTGATTTTGGGCAATAGAACCAAAGTGAAGATTTCAGATTCTCTTTTCTCCTTTTCCAGTTTTGTATCATAGCAGTGCTTTTGTAATTCATTTGTTATATATACTGCTTGATTTAAGTAGAATCTTCATGTTTGTCTGTGATTTTTGTCTTTGTGGATTTAGAAAAGGCTAAAATTCAAGATGTGAGACTCTGATCAAGGAAATATTATTGTTGTCATAGCTAGAATTCTCAAATATAATAATATTATAGAGCTAAAAATGATGAGAAAAATATATAGATATGTGTTTGTAAAACATACCTGCAGATTGATGTGCAACTCCAAAAAATGATATCAAAGTTCCAAATTCTTGGCACTGCCTGCTTTGATGGTTTGTTAGATTTTAGCAAAAAATTCACTGTGGGGAAAGACTCTTTGACTTACAGACTTTAGCCTTTGAGATTTGAATCATATCCAAAGCATATACCATTTTGAGCTCTATGATTCATCAGAAAACAACCTCCACCAGCTGTTCCTGAATAGATGGCTTATGGACTTATTCTTGTGGTATGTGTATATATATCTCCCTCAATCACTATTTAATTCCAGCTTTATGAGTCTCCTTTTCGCAACGTACATATATATATATATATATATAATATAATACAACGTGGTTGACTCGAGGAAGTTCGTGGCTCTTTGATCTCTCTTTCCTTTGAATCCATCTCAAAGAAGTTACTTTCATTCCAAATAACTTAATATGGTGGCTTTGCCTCAATTGAAAATTCAATTTCACACATATCTTTAACCAATTCACTTCTGAAGGCATTATTGAATGATTTATTAAAACATAAGTTCTTATTTGGCCTTCATTTTTCTTTTCCTTTTTTTTTTCTAATAAGTAAAAAAAAAAGAAGAAGTAATATGTTATTAATAATGATGAAACATTACAAAGGGGGAGAGAAAAAGAAACTGAAGTAGGATAACCCCACCAACAATAAGACTATACAAAGCATTTGTAAACTGCAAAAGAAATCCAAACAGAAAAGCAGAAAGTTGCAAGTTGGCAACACCAAGCTCTCTGTCATTTTAGTTTCAAGAATCATGAAAAAATAAAAATCCACTCTAATGGAGAGATCACCTCATTTCAGATCAAACTACTCTCTACCTTAATACCCATGCCAAGAAACAACCCAAGAGGCTATCTGCATTAAGACAAAAATAAAAATAAAAAGGACCTAAATTTAATATTAGAATATGACTGACCAATTCTTATTTCTGTCCAAATCCAAACCCAATAATTGTCTCACTTCCGTGAAAATGAATTTGTTCACACACTTTTTAATGTATGAACAATACACAAAATTTGATTGATTCTGCATCTTCTAAGAAAGATTGTATGCGCTCCAATTCAGCTTTGATACTGACAATTCCTTGTGGACACTCCTCAATAACTCTACTTCATGGGCCAACAATGGTACCAAATATTGAATAACAGGGCTCACTGCTCTTTCTGCCATTACTTCTCCCTGCACTGCATTGAACACATCATCACAATTAGTTCCAATTATGCTTAGTAGTGGCTGTGTGTGTGTCCATGTAGAAAGGAAGTTAGATGAATGTAGATAGAGGAGAAAAAAATTCAAAATTTACAATGAAAAACTTAGGCAGTTACATAGGACAATTTGGACATGAAAAAATGCGTGACACTGTCACACAGGTGTTTCACACCAAGTGAATTGTGAACTTTATATAATAACTAGTGAAAGAAATATTGAGAGAATGATTGAAAGAGCAAATAAGCTCTGTTAATTCAATTTCTATTAAACCTTTAGAGAAGACTCCATTATATAGGAGAGCTTATACAACATCATTATGATAACCTGCTATACAACATCATGAAAGAAAACATATAAAACTAAAAGAGGACCGAAAGCAGCCGAAAGTATAAAGCTAAGCATCTGATGAGAAGAAGCACTAACTATACAACTAAGCATCTGATGAGGAGAAGCACTAACAGAGCACTATTCACCAGACATAATTATTTGCTCACATGGAAAAAGAAGCTTGATTTCCAACACTCCCCCTCAAGCTACGTTGTAGATGTTAATCATTCCCAATTTTTCCGTCAGATCTTCGAAGTTAACTCGAGCAAGAGCTTTTGTGAGAATGTCAGCCTTTTGACAGTTTGTTGGAGTGTGTAGCTGACTTGAAAAACTCCTTCTTCAATCTTTTCCTTGATAAAGTGTCGATCTATCTCCACGTGTTTAGTTCGATCATGATGAACCGGATTCTTAGCTATACTGATGGCGGCTTGGTTGTCGCAGTATAAAACCATGGGATGCTCAGATGGAACCCGTAATTCTTCTAACATCCTGTTCAACCAGATTCCCTCACAGATACCTAGTGCCATAGCACGAAATTCTGCCTCAGCACTACTACGGGCTACCACTGACTGTTTCTTGCTTCGCCATGTAACCGCGTTCCCCCAAACAAATGAACAATAGCCAGAGGTTGATCTCCGATCAGTTACTGAACCTGCCCAATCTGCGTCTGAAAAAATCTCAATTTTTCTATTTGTTGTTCTTTTTAACACACAAAATATCCTCATACTTTGTTCATTCTGCCACTATTCTTGGCCTTACATACCTGCGCGAACTTTTGTCTTGTGTTTCTTGATGATCCATCACTGTTCTTGACTCTAAATCACCGCTTTTGTTTGTGTTTTCTGCATTTTCTCCAGATTCGTGCATTCAATCTTCGTTTCCATAGATCTAGGTTTGGGATTTGTTTGTAGAACCCATAAATCCTTAGGAAAAACTCAAACGATTCCACAGATTCTGTGTATTTTTGAGCTTTAGCCGAGGTCTCTAAAACTCTCAAAAACACCCCCTTCTGAAACCTAACTCCTCCAGTTAAGCCGACATCATGGGTATGTGGAAGCATAGAGTAGATACCCGGACCAAACTAGAGTACTTTAGGCGAGAGTTTTCTATTTCTGCCAATGTCCACCTTAGGTTGGCAGGGGAGGAAGACTCTATTATGCCCGACGTAAACCTTATGCCTAAAAAAAAGTACAAAAACCAAACATAAAATATAATATAAAAAGTAAATGAATTATAGGATTTTTAAGAAGTGAGACTCACAAATAAATTTTACAAAATCTTACCTATTTATACACTTTTTGTGTATATTTTTTGTACTTCTAATTCCGAGAATGACATTGAAATAGTCTACACTCTTGCATTAGGTACATCTAATAGTTTAGCAAACAAGAATATAATAAATTTCATAACACAAAACACAAAAAATTATGAGACAAAGTATCTAAAAAAAAATAAAGATAACATTCAATGATGATGTAGAAACACACCTAATGTTTTAATTGGAGGTATAACCAGATAAATCGCCATAAAAAAGGAAGACAATATTTATTTTTCATCACAATAATTACATAACTAAATATTTAATTTTAATGTCTCTCACTCTTCCACATGTTCAATTCTATATCAATATTAAAATGAATGCATGAACCATAAAAAGGAAACATTTGAGAAGATAAAGAGATGTGGTTTAAGACCTATGAACAAAGACAGAACACCCGAAAATTTTTGGTGGGATGGTGGAGATGAGGCGAGTAGTTGGAAAGGATTTTAGGAGAAGTTGACAAGGAGTTTGGAATTGTAGTACCCTAGATGGCATCCTATTGATAAGGTAGGTTGCTGTAAGAACAGCTTCCCCCCAGAAGAATTGTGGAACATTTGTGGAAAACATGAGTGATCTAGCAACATCTAACAAATGCCGATTTTTCCGTTCAGCGATGCCGTTTTGTTGTGGGGTGTCAACACATGAACTTAAGTGAACTATCCCTTTGTCTGCTAAAAAATCTCCTAGAATTGAGTTGAAATAGTCCCGAGCGTTATCAGACTTTAGAATTTGTATTTTTGACTGGAATTGTGTCTGAATCATAATTTGAAATTTTTTGAAGATTTGGCTTGTTTCAAATTTGTCTTTCATAAGGAAGACCCAGGTTAATCTAGTATGATCATCTATGAATGAGACAAACCACCTAGTACCAGTTACATTTTCTATTCTTGATGGACCCTAGATATCACTATGAATTAGTGAGAATGGACGAGACGCTTTATAGGATTGAATGGGAAAATGGGACCGTACATGCTTAGACAATTGACAGATTTCACAATCAGGTTTTGGATTTTTATTAAATAATGAAGGAAATAAATGCTTGAGATACATAACATTAGGATGACCTAAGCGATAGTGCCACAACATAATTACTCTATCGTTATTTTGACACGAAACCGAAAAAGAACTACCACGAATTGCCGTTTGAGGTTGTTCCTGTGGATAGTGACGTTCCTTAACGATGTAGAGTCCAGAGCATTCCTCAGCATTGCCAATCGTCTTCCCCGAATCCAAATCCTGAAATTCACAATAAGTGGAGAAAAAATTAGTAACACACCTCTTTTCCTTAGTGAGTTTACTAATTGACAATAAATTACAGTCCAAGCCAAGAACAAGGAGAACAGAGTTGAGAATAAGATTCCTAGATAGCACAACTGAACCTGTACCGGCAACCTTTGATAGTGAACCATCTGCTATTCGGACCGTTAAATTATTTTGACATGAGCTATATGTATCAAAAATTGTTGCATCTCCCGTCATATGATCAGATGCTCCTGAGTCCACAATCCAAGGTTTTTTAAGTTTCTTACCAACAGTAAAGGCATTCAAAGAATTACCTTTGTGAGCCAAGGTTCCAGATCCAATGATGTGGTTGGAAGACGAACCAGATTGTGACTGTAGAATAGGAGACAGTAGTTTCTGGAGCATCTCCATTTGCCCCTTGGTGAAAGGGCTTGCTTCAGGTTGTGGTGATAGTTCATTGGTACCTACATGATTACCTCGTCCTTCTTTCTCAAGAGGTTGACGTGGCTTCCAATCTGCTGGCTTTCCATGAATCTTCCAGCAAGTTTCTCTCGAGTGACCCGGCTTTCTGCAATGATCATACCAAGGCCTACCTCCTTTATTTTTCTGACGGTTGTCAATAGGAGCGAATTGAGTCTTAAGAGCCGAGCTTTCTGCCATATTCAGTTGTTGATGGGATCCCATCATGAGTTTTTTCCGACTTTCTTCGCGACGGACTTCAGAGAATGTCTCTCTAAGGCTAGGTAGCGGTTTTACTCCCATAATTCTTCCTCTGATTTCATCAAGATTTGTGTTCAATCCTAACAAGAATTTAAACACACGCTTCCCTTCGGCAATCTTTTTATACAACAAACCATCAGCAACACACTGCCAGTTATGAACCTCAAACGTATCAAGTTGACGCCATAGACGAGTAAGGGTATTGAAATATTCAGTTACCATAAGATTGTCTTGACGTAAATCGTGGAGGGAGCTTTCAAGCTGGATGATTTCAAATGTGTTTTCCTTGTCCGAAAACGTTTCTTTTGCAATGTCCCAGATCTCTTTGGCAGTATCAAATGATAAAATTTTTTCGCCAATGTCAGTGGTCATAAAGTTAACGAGCCATGACA